ACAAATTTGCTCCAAAAAGTACACATGTAGGTTTTGGCAGAACACTCTGTTTGAAAGATGGAAGGGAACGTAGTGACCTAAGAACTCAGTCCACCTCAGAACCCAGTCTCTGTGTGAAATGTTTTTGTGGAGTACAACATTTTTTATGTCAAACTCTCATTTTGTGACAACTCTTAAAAGCATGAGTTCGTTGTTCTAAGTTTTAAGTATATGGTACTAATTAGTGAGCGTGTGCTTAATCCTAAACAGTTGAGTCATTTGGGGGGACTTTTGGGGATAAAAGCAAAATGTATGATAGAGTGAGCAAAATATACATCATTAGCAACAGGAAATGAAAGTAAATAATTTTTTATTGTACATTGAAATGACAGGATTTCTAATCAAACTCTTTTTCTCCTGACTCTACAACCAGGCCCATGAAGTAAGTTCAGTTGTGAATAGAGTTAGTATTTTCATGAATCTTCTTGAGAAGCTCAACCATTACTAACTACTGGCAGGACTATTTTACTGGTAATTAAGTGAATATAAATTCTTTTTTCTTTAAAAAGATTTTATTTATAGAGAGAGGGAAAGGAAGGGAGAAAGGCAGGGAAACATCAGTGTATGGTTGCCTCCCATGTGACCCATATTAGGGACCTGGCCCACAGCCCAGGCATGTGCCCTGACTGGGAAATGAACCAGTGACCCCTTGGTTTGCAGGCCGGTACTCAATCCACTGAGCCACACCAGCCAAGGCTGAATATAAATTCTTACTACAATAAGAGGGAAATTAAGTGAACACAGGCTAAGAAGGAAAAGAAACAGAAAGATGTTACAGATACTGGTTTGCATTTAAAATAACAAGTATTTATTGAACATCTATATGCTAAACATTATGCTAGCAACACATACACACAATCTCCATCTTCAGAGCAGTTGAAGAAAGTAGATGTAATCTTGTTTCACAGAAGAGAAAATTGAAGCTCAAAATGGTTCATATATCTGGCAATGAACAGAGTCAAGATTTGAATGTAGAACTTCTGACTACTAGCCTAATTGAGCTGTATATAATTAACCAGAAATTATACACAGTTGGACTATAAATTCATGTTTTTATGCTAAGCTGACGCAGTCAGCATTCTTGCAGAGTTCCCTTGGATTCAAGTTAGCTGAAGTGGGCCCAGGGGAATTTCTGCTTCTAACCAATATGAAATAACACTAGAATTACCCTTCTGCCTTAAAATAGCCAGACAAAATATATAAAAAATGGGTTTTGGACATTGGAGAGCAAGCATCTCAGGACTGTGGTCTCTGAGAGAAGAGAAGCAAGTATGGTGAGCTTAGAATTGTGCAAGTTGCCTCCCTGAAAGAAGTTTCCAGGCTGTAATACAGTGGGGAGGCCCTAAACGGAGCTTGCCTCAGAAATGAGCAAGAAAGCAAAGGTGGCTGGAATTTGCAGTGCAGGATACTGGAGAAAAGGAAGCAACAGAAAGAGTGATCTCTGGAGACATGCAGAGGACTTCCAGGTCTTTGTTGAACTGAGCATCTTTGCATTAGTACTGATGTGTTCATTTCTGCCTGAGCACTGAGGCCAGGGGAGACACAGGTAGGAGCAGAGAGAACAATTTTCAGGGTTCTCAGAGGGCCGGAAATAGTTCATGTTTGCATTAGTCAGTGAGGAAAGACCTCATGATACCCAGAGCATCAGAAAGCCTCAGAAAGGTGTTGCCTTGGCAGTATGGCTGTTAGCCTTAAAATGAAGGCAGCTCTGCAGCTGCCATGCTGATTTCAAATAACAAGGAAAAGAAGGCAGTAATGAGACCTGTTGAGTGAGTAATAGGGATTTCTCAGAGGAAGTCAGAAGAATTAAACGTAAAACAGGATGAAAGTATGCCAGGTGCTTGGGCAAAGAGGAAAGCTATTTAATTTGTAGAGCAGTGGAATTGAGGCTACTAGACTTGTACATGAAAGCAAATGATGAGCAACTGCAAGAAGAATGAGGAAGAATCTGTACTGAATGCCTCTGAGGGCCCTACATATATAAGTAGGGATAATTTTTTGTTTGTTTTAACTCTCAGACTTTGGTAGGTGTTGAAATATGTTTTTTTCAAGCTAATGCATATTGTATTTATCTTGGGTCTTTGAAAATTGGTAGTTTAACTGTAACCCTATATAGTAACTCTTGGGTATTGCACCTTTAAAACTTTCCGTTCTTCCACTGTTTTCTCTATATTAGAAGAGTTAATTTTTCTTAGAAAGCATATATTCATGTTGTTTGATAAAAACATAGTACAATATTTAAGCTTTACAAATGTAGGTAATTCACAAATAAAGAGATTTTATTACTCTTTATAAGTATAGTCACATTAGGATACGTATGATATTCTTTGAAGATGGACTATCTTTAATTCTGATAATAAACTATTAAAAAGATATTTGACAAGCCGAATCTAAGGACCAGAGAGGACTCGACTCAAGGATGTAATAAAGACATCCTAGGTTGACAGCTAGGTAGTGGGTGTGGGAAGCCTCTCATCCATACTAGAATAGGAATTCAGAGAGCTCAGGGAAATATTTTCAAAAAGCAGATAGATGGTAGATACAGCCATAGCATGATTAAGGCATCGAAAGATCTTAAGGATATGATGAAGATTTACATTTCCTTGGTCAATAAGGAAAGAGCAATTAGAAACCACGGAGGGGCTTGGCTGATGTGGCTCAAGTTGGTTTGGTGTTGCCCTGAAAAGCAAAAGGTCAACAGTTCTATTCTCAGTTGGGGCACATGCCTGGGTTGTAGGTTAAGTCCCAGGTTGGGGTGCGTACAAGAGGCAACAACTGCTCAATATTTCCCTCTCACATCAATTTTTCTCTCCCTATCTCCCTTCCTCCCCATCTAAACAAACAAACCTATTTAAAAAAAAAAACAGGTAAGTCTATAAGAAACCCATGGTCCAAATTTACAGCAAAACCTAGTTTACCCTGGTTTTAAGCAACTGATGAAAGAAGAGGAAGTCCATTCGACACTGATGCTTGGAATGTTTATCCAACATGTTTAACTTTGAGCAGAACAGGTGTGGTAAGATTATACTTTTTTTTATATGGGTCCAACCACAGTACTTGGTAAATTATTTTCTAAAAAGTTGTGTGTATACAGGTTATGTGTATATTAAGTATTGAGCTGATTTCCTCATCTTTTATGGCAGGAATTCATAATATGGTTTAAAGATGATAAAATCATAACTGAGGTGTAAGTATAGTGACTGCCTACCCCCCCAGAAGAAGTAAAGCCAATGATTACATGTTACCTCTGAGGAGTAAAACCTAGGCTAGGAGATAGGAGTAGAGACTTTACTTTTTATTCTCCACTATTTATTCACTTTAAAGTTTAATATATGTTTAACTATCCATACTGAATGAATATATTTTAACCTTAGCATGTATTACAAATAATTTCTAGCCAGTTTTTTTGTCTTTGACTGTTGATGTATCCTGATATGTATTGAGACTATTGAGAGTGCTAATGTGTTGATAAACCACATAAACTGTTCAGGCAAGGGAGCTATTTTTATCCTAATTTTCAGTGATCATACCACCTCTGGAAGATATACTTCAGCTCTGGTTTGGGCACTAGTATATGAGTAACTATAGAATGTAAGTAGAAAGGGGTGGGGTATCCAGGGTGGTGATGTCTGGATCATTTTACACTTGAAGAGTGATGACAAGAACTGTTGGTGTGTAGTCTGGGAAGATGTAATTCAAGAGTAAGAGGAACATGATCACCAACTTTAGACATATGGAAGAAAGGGTTTTTTGATCTATGTGAGCTCAAAGGGCAAAAATAGGACCAATGGGCAGAAATTACAGAGGACCCACATTATGAAGAATTTTCTAACTACCAGAGCTGTGTGATGACATCACTGTTAACTATTCAAACAAAGACATTGTAAAGGTCATTCTCATGTTGGGTAGGATTCTGCTAGACATGTCCCCCCACCACCCTAGAGACCTTCTAATCATGGCTTGATCTTTCTAGTGACCAGTCTTCATGTAAGAGCCCACCCAGAAGCTCCTCATTAGAACAAAAGATTCTTCTAGTGCTCTTATGACTTAGGAATTTATAAGAGTTTAGTCACTCTGTGTTGGGAATCAGAGGCAGGGACCAGTTTATAAGTTTGTCATTTCACAGTCTGATACCTAGTAAAGAGCTTAAGAAAGCTGAATGATTTTTGCTTTTTTGACATATAAAATGGTTTACTTAACTTTCCTCAGTGGAAACCATAGTGACACCAGATTCACTTAGTCCATACATTTTAACTATAGGTGAAAGTCTTATAAACTTTGTAAACCTTCATTTAACTGAATTAGTAAAGAATGAAGGGTTCTGTTTTATTGCCTAGTCCACTATCAAGTCCACAATATATGTTAATTATTGAGCCCAGTTCAAAATTGAATTTCTCCTTGATACCTTGCAGCCACACTGAAGTTGGACAGCTTTCTGCCTTATCCAAGCCTGTCTTGTGACATTAAGCACATAATAGCATTATTTGTGTCTGCTTTTTGTCTTCCTGACAGACTAAATGTATAAGGGAGAGTTATGTCTTATTTTCCTCTATAATATCCTTTACTTTCTAGCACAGCATTGTTCAGTAGACTATTGTGTGACCCATGTATTCAATTTTAGATTGAATTTTCTAGTAGCAACATTAAAATTAACAGAATTGGAGAAAAATAATTTTAAAAATGTATTTAACCCAGTATATGAAAAATATTTCATGTAGAATGAAAGTAAAATATTTGTTCATGAGATATTGTACATTCTTTGTTTAGGTACTAAGCCTTCAAAATCTTGTACTTTACACCTGCAGCACCCTCAAATCTGTACTAGTCACATTTCAAGTACTTAGTAGCCATTTAGCTAATGACTACGGTGTTAGACAGCAGAGGTTTAATACATTACAGATGATCAGTAAGTGAATGTCCCATAGGCAAAATATCAAAAAATAATATTTTTTTCCCAACAGACTACCATGGCTGCAGGAGTCTTTCCCCCGAATGAACAACCCTATTCCATTTTGAATAATAGTGGGCATGCTGAAAACATGAAAGGTAATCATTCTTTAATAGACATTTTTTTGTCTTTTTGTGCAAACTAGAATTTAAAAAACTGTATGAATGGACATGAAAGAAACGGCATGATTCTTCATATTGGAATGCCAAGTTGCAGGTACTATTTGTGGCCTTGAGTTTATTTCTGCCTGCCTATTTTGACCTATTAACATTTCTTTTCAAAATCTTGAATAATGACCTTGGCCTGTTAAGAAGGAAGTGCTAAAAACAAAGTTTGTCTCCTTCATTATTTTTTACTGAAATTTTACATTTGTTCCTCTCATCAAATGCCTGCTTGTGAACCAAATTTTCATTTCTTTCTTTTTTGACTTGTAGTGTCACTTGTAAAGCACATTCAAAAGTACACTAGCTCAGCTGCTCCCAGGTTTTGTCTCTCATGAGTTGCCTTCCCACAGTTCTGATTTTTCACATGGTACTGCAGAAGGAAGGGTGCTATGACTTGGACTCTCACTGCCATTTGCCCTTCATTCAAGTTCTAAGGTGAAAGCATGCTTTGATTTTTTGCCACTATAGTGCTATAGTCAACCAAGAGTTGTTGAGTAATTTTTTTTTTACAATATCCCTTGAAATCCCTTGCCTGATTTTCTTACTGCCCACTCTGAGTTTTGCCCAAGTTCAAAGTTTAGTTTTCCTGTATAGGGAACTTTACAGGAAAAGTAAAGTTCTTGGTTTTCCCTGCTAGTTGTGAATTAGATAATAGGAGAAAAAGTAAAGGAGTATGGGTCTAAAGGTACTGGCATATTGCTGAGAATAACTGGTTCTCAAGAGTTGATTGTGTGCTTCTGGGAACCCAACCAGTACACCAGGGGGAGCTCTCATTCACCAAGAAAACCAGTGTTTACCTCTTCTGACCTCGTTAGGGCTCCTTGGTCTGTCTGTGCTGACTTTAAGGGGCAATACTAATGGTCACTACCATTTGTGGGCAGTGTATATGTGCCAGACTTACTGTATGTTAGTTTCCCTGGTTTAGAAAGAAGTGCTGTCTAAAACAAATGTAATAATAATTGTCTACTTGCTGTTTTCATTGTAGAATAATAGGTTTGTGCCCCTAATTAACTTTCTAGCTAACAAGTATAAAAAACGAACCTTTTCCCCTTCCCTTTCTTATGTTGGAATGTTACCTCTTAGTTGGTGTTTCTCATGGGGGATTTGGCCTTAGAGGTGAGGTACTTCTACATTGCAGGAGAGCCCCAGTTATGAAAACATTCAGTATCTCTGCCTCTCCCACAACTGAATCCAGTAATGTCCCCAAATTACAGGAATAACAAAAAAACCCTACACATCTCCAAACACCTCCATGAAGGTTGTAACACCTCTTTTGTGATCCTCTACGGAAGCTGATTATTACCTTTTCCAAAACCATCTTTTTAATTTAAATTGTCCTTATTGTATAAATATAGCTAATTTTTCATTTGAAAAAATCTGGAAAAATAAAAAATCAATTTATATCTAATTTTTCAAAGTGTATCTCATCTATACAGGTAGTCAGTTGTTTTTTATTGGGTTAATATTGGGATGGGAAATATTTTGTAAATGTTCACTAATGACTTATGGAAAAAATGACTCCTTAAGATACATCAGTAAAGTGTTTAAACTATGTTTAAAAGGAAATAGAAAACTTATCAAGAACTAGTTTTGGGACTTCTGGCCAAGATGGAGGTATAGGTGGATATACTTTGTCTCCTCCCACAACCAAAAGAAGGACAACAAATTTAAAAGCAAAAAATAACCACAACTGCCAGAAAATCGAACTGTCCAACAACTGTTTGGAAATCCAGCAACCAAAGAGTTAAAGAAGAAACATTCATTCAGACTGCTGGAGGAGAAGATGGGTAACAGGGGCAGAGAGGACACACAGCAAGGTGGCAGCTGGGGGACTGGGAAGGCAAGACAGTGACTACCATACAGGGAAAGTGAAGGTGGCATCTGGTACACCAGGAGGAGCAACTGGGGAGTGAGCCAGACCACACAGCCAAGGTTCCACCACCAGAAAAGAAAGCCTCAAAACCTCTAACTATAAAAACCTGTGGGGGTGGCAATGGTGGGAGAAACTTCCAGCCTCACGGGAGAGTTCATTGGAAAGACCCACAGCGTCCTAGAATGTACACAAACTCACCCACTAGGGAATCAGCACCAGAAGGGCCCAGTTTACATGTGGTTAATGGGGAAAGTGACTGAAAGCCAGCCAGAGCCGAGCAAGTAGCACTGTTCCCTCTTGGACCCCTCCCCCACATACAGTGCCACAACACAGTGACTTGGGTTGCCCCACTTTGGAGAATACCTAAGGCTCTGCCCCTTACAATGTAACAGGTGCACCAAGATGAAGAAATGTGACCCAAATGAAAACAGATCAAAACACCAGAAAAAGAATTAAGCAATGAGGATATAGCCAACCTATCAGATGCACAGTTCAAAACACTGGTAATCCAGGTGCTCAGGGAAATGGTTGAGTATGGTTGCAAACTAGAGGATGAAGTGAAGGTTATGCAAAGTGAAATAAAGAAAAATGTACAGGGAACCAACAGTGAAGGGAAGGAAACTGGGACTCACATCAACAATTTGCAGCAGAAGGAAGAAACAAACATTCAACCAGAACAGAATGAAGGAACAAGAATTCAGAAAAAATGAGGAGAGGCTTAGGAACCTCCAGGACAGCATTAAATGTTCCAACATACTAATCATAGGGGTGCCAGAAGATGAAGAGGAAGACCAAGATATTGAAAACTTATTTGAAAAAATAATGAAGGAGTACTTCCCCAATCTGGCAAAAGAAATAGACTTTGAGGAAATCTAGGAAGCTCAGAGAATCCCCCAAAAGTTGGACTCCAGGAAGCACACACCAAGGCACATCATAATGACATTACCCAAGGTGAAAGATAAGGAGAGAATCTTAAAAGCAGCAAGAGAAAAGGAGACAGTTACCTACAAAGGAATTCCCAGCTGATTTCTCAAAAGAAATCTCGTAGGTAAGAAGGGGCTAGAAAGAAGTATTCAAAGTCATGAAAGGCAGGTATCTCCCTCTAACATTACTCTATCCAGCAAAACTATCATTTAGAATGGAAGGGCAGATAAAATGCTTCCCAGATACAGTAAAGTTCAAGGAGTTCATCATCACCAAGCCCTTATTATATGAAAAGTTAAAGGGACTTATCTAAGAAAAAGAAAATTATCAAAACTATGAACAGTAAAATGACAACAAAGTTACAGATATCAAAAACTGACCCCCCCCCAAAAAAAAACAAAAATAAACTAAGCAAATAAGTAGAACAGAATCACAGAAATGGAGATCACATGTGGGTGGGGTTATCAGAGGTAAGGGGGAGGGAGGAAAATGGGGGAAAAGGTACAGGGAATAAGAAGCATAAATGGTAGGTACAAAATAGACAGGGAGGTTAATAATTGTATAGGAAATGAAGAAGCCAAAGAACTTACATGTACAACCCATGGACATGAAGTAAGTTTGGGGAATGCTGGTGGGTGTAGGGGTGCAGAGCAGAGGGGAATAAAGGGGGAGAAAACAATGGGACGACTATAATAGCATAATCAATAAAATATACTTAAAAATTTTTTTAAAGAAACTGAATAAATGGGAAGAAAAAGGTCTTTCATACATTAGAATGCTAGTTAAGAAATACAGAACAAATGATGGAATTAGAAAACTTCCATTTAGCCTTCCAACACAGTAATAATTAATTCAGGCAAGAAACATAAATGGATGACAAAACTACTGAGTAAAAGTTGGATGAGAAACAGGATATTTACATAGTCTCAAGGCATCACTCCATAAATATTAATTATGAAAGGTAAAGAATAATTTATAATGGGTTAATCTTGGCAGACACCATTTTACTGACATGACCAAACTTAACATTTCCAGTGATGAGGCAAAATGACATCTTGGGTCTTGCAATGGGATAGTGAGAAAAGCACAACATCACTTCTATGATGTCTCTGCTTAAAATGCATAACCTCAATCCTATCATGACAAAATAGCAGACAGATGTGAATTGAGGAACATGCTGCAAAATAGTGGCCTGTAATCTTTGTAAAGGACAAGAAACAACAAACTGTGGTCATTGAAAAAAATCTTAAAAAAAACCACCACAAATATCCCTTTGCTGTTAAAGAATACTATAGGGATGGCTGATGAAACTTGAATGGGGTCGGGGTCTCTGGGTGAACAGTATATAAAAAATTTTTGTGTGCTTTTTTTTTAAGTATGAAACTATTTCAAAATAAAATAATTAACATTACATCAACAAAGACAGCCAGACATGGGCATCCTGATAGAAGAGAACAGCACCATCCTTGAAATATTGTTGCCAAAAAAAAACCAACCTACCTGACTAGACTCTACATCCCTGAACAAATTCAGTTTATAGAATATACCATGTGGATATAATCAGCAAAATAAAGACTGTGGCAAACTCTATAGAAGGTGTAAGATATATATCAACCAACTGTAATATATTGACCTTCGTTGGATCCCATTTCACACATACACACATCTATGAGAATATTAGAAATTTAAGCAGTGTCTAGATATTTGATAATATAAAGCAATTATTAATACTTTTGGTTATGGTAAGGATGACATGTTTAACGAATGAAATGAAATAAATGAAAACACAGAAAAGGATAGAGGAAGGAGAGTAAACTGAAATTGTTAATGCTGGGTGATGTTATGTACATGGGGGTGTGGTACCTCCACAATTATCTTTATTATGTTCTGTATACATTGGTAAATGTTTGGAATTTCCCAAAATAAGAGTTTTTCCCCCCAAAATAGCAGAACCAATGTTTAAATCTGTGCCTGTTTCACTCCAAAGCTAGTCCTTTTCTTAAAGTGTATTTTAATAATTATGCTATTGCAGTTGTCCCATTGTTTTCTCCCCCTTTATTCCCCTCTGCTCTGCACCCTTACACCCACCAGCATTCCCCAAACTTACTTCATGTCCATGGGTTGTACATGTAAGTTC